ATCGGCATGTGTAGCTCCTGCCTGCCGCCCTTCTCCCTCTTCCTCTAGAGGTTAACGGCGAAGAAATACCTCCACAAGTCAAAGTGGGGGCTGATCCCTAGGAATCTTCGCACAGCGCGACGAACGCCGCCATGTGCTGGATCCCGTTGGGATTGAGATGCTGCAGGTCAATCTTGTAGAAGTGTAGCAGCCCCCAGAGGAATTTATGGGTGGGGGTTGCAAGCCCACGCTCATGGAAGCGGACGAACGACACCACGTAGCCGTCGAGCGGCGACGACTAACCCTCGTCGTTGGGCAGCAACCACTCCTCGGCCAAGGTCCACGCGCGGAGGAGACCGCGATGGACGAGGCCCTCCATGCGCTGGAAGGTGATGTCAGAACAGCACCACGGATCCATTGGAGGTGACAGCGGATGGATGCGAGCTCAACGGCAGTGGAGATGCGGAGACAGGAAACCTAAGTGTTGGCGGTGGCGGCGTGGCTACGGAGGCTAGGATGCAGGTGTGCGTATAAAATGCGGAGGGCTAACCCTTTGGTTTTATAGGGACGATGGGTGCGAGAAAACAAACCGCCCACCTAGATCTCCACGCCTGCCACGACCTGTCACCATGTCTCGTCACAGGGCGTGCGCACACAACCTATGGCTATCCCCTCGAAAAACATGCCGGACGTTTTGCCTCCTCGAACAGGCCATGACCCATCACAGGTAAGAGGGATACGGAGCTAAAAACACTCCTACGACCCGTCTAAGCCCAGGAGTTTGAAGGTTGGCCCACCGACGGGTTCGACAATCGCTCCGGGCACTTTTAGAGTGAGGGGTGTAAAGGGATGGGCCCGCTAGCAGCCAGTACCCTAGCGCACGGGCGCTGTAGGCATGCCAGCCCACATTCGATCCTTGAGCGGATTCGATCCATGGTTTTTCCTCGAAGAAAGGCAGAGAGCCCTCGAGACTGATAGAATGGACCTGAGAACTATATGGATTGACCGCTGAGAATCTGGAGTCGGTCACCAGCTGACCCAAGCCAGACCCCCGCGAACGGGATGCCGGGGCCCCACTCGAACTAGCCTGTTAACAACTCACCGAGCACCATGGCTCGTCCATAGAGAAAAATTATGGCACGGCTCAGCCCCTCCTTTCTTATCGGAAAAAACGCTTGAGGGAAGACGATCATGAAGACGAGTCGACCCTCGACCGGACCCCTGCTATGTGCGGGGGCTCGAGGAAAGATGGACTCGCAAGGAGACCGAACGCACGGTCGCAGAACGACAGACCCCCGTAGGGGTCGAAATTAGGAAAGACCTTTTCCGACCCACCAAATCTCACGCCTATACCCTTGAGAGGCCCGATCACGACGAAAGGGAATCGCCGTCCCCAGGACACGCCATGGGCGACAAGAAAAGGCCAAGGCCCTCAGAGTCCTCCCGTTTGGAAAAGCCTCCGAAGGAGTATTCTACTCCTCCGCTGGCTCGGGGGCCACTGTCGGGGACCAATACTAGGGTACCCGAAGAGAAGGATCTAATGGTCATGAACATTGATTCAATCAAGCAGTCAGAAGCGCGCCTACAGCTCCATCCGACCCCCAGGTGTGCGGGCTCCACCTCGCCCGACTCGACCCCGAGGCCACGATCTCCGCCTCGCCCGACCTTTGGGGGCGGGCTCCGCCTCGCCCAACCCCGAGGCCACGATCTCTGCCTCGCCCGACCTTCGGGCACGGGCTCCGCCTCGCCCGACTCTGAGGCCGCGATCTCCGCCTCGCCCGACCCTTGGGTTTGTGCTCCGCCTCGCCCGACCCCAAAACCGCGGGCTCCGCCTTGCCAAACCCCTTGGATGCCGGCTCCGTCTCGCCCGACAGGGACCTATACCGCCGCCAACCACTCTAGGTCCAAGCGTATGGGCCTAGGTCAAAACTCTGACACCAAAGAAGAGACCGGCACGCCCCGATATAACCCGCGGCCACAACAGGCCATACCTGAGGATTCATATTAAGAACAACGTCGGGCGTCTGGGTGCTTGCTCGCCTAACCCTCATCTGAACATTGACAGCACGCTGGGTTCACCACGACGTCCGCCAGATGTGAGTGGAGCGCCTCGACCGGGATGACGCCAATGATTTTGACAGACCATGACGTGGAGCCGTCCCTGTTGATATCTATAGGGTCAGTAGGACCTGCATGAAGGAGAAGGACCCAGCGATCCTAGAGGCCTTCCTCTCTCTCGTTTTTCTCCTTTTCCTCCGCTATAACTAGCGCTTTCCCTTGGCCTATAAAAGAGAAAGCAGGGCGCTCCATGAAGAGGATCCCGGACCGATCGACCCATCAAGATCCGATACAGATCCGCACAAGAGTGCGACACGAACGCACAGCTGAGCATCGATCGAGCTCTCAGCACCCACTCACTCTTTTCACCAGACTTAGGTTCCTTTCTCTCTCTCGCTCGTTTGTAACCCCTATTACAAACTTTCAGTGCTAGTAACACAAGCAGCAGCGACGAACTGGACGTAGGGACTTTCTGCCCGAACCAGTATAAACCTCGTGTCCTCTAGCCACACCATCCGAGCCAGATGCGCAATACTAGAAATTTACTCGTCGATGGTAACTCGAAACATCGACATATAGTCCCCTATAATTCTTTTGCAGAATTATTTTTGGTTACTTGGCCTAAATTACCACCTGTCGATCAATGATCCGTCGAAATCCGGCCTTGGCCTTGCAGGGCACGACCTCCTTTTGCGATTAAAATGAGAAATTTAGCAAGTTGGATAATTAATGGAGGGCAAGTTAGACTTTCAACGCCCATAATCCCCTATAATCTGGTCTCACCTGGATTATGGGATTATGATAATCAAGAGTTTTGATTATAATAATTCATCATATAATCAATTCCGTTCCAATCAAAATTTGATCATATAATTTAATTATTATAATCAGAGGTATCAAATAGGGCCTTAGTGGTCCATAATTTAAATGTTAGCTTCCACAATAACCGGGTCCAAACAAAGAACTAAGCAATGCATTGCTGCGCTGTAACATCCTAATGGGCCAAAGTGGGCCCAATTAAATTAAATTTCAGTATGGGCCGGTGTCACTGTAGCAGGGGAAATGACGGTCACTGTAGCATCCATTCTGTGGGCTACTGTTCACCGGTCACTGTTCACTCGAAACTGGGCCGGCCGAAATCGGTGGTACTGTTCACGGGTACTGTAGCACCGCTTTCTCAACCGTAGTTTAGTCCTATACCGAAATCCTGAATTACCGGATCGACTTAAATACCGGGGCTGAGGACGCCGTAGTAACCTTTCGGTTAACCGCTTTGAACGAAGCGAGGGCGAAAGTTCAAGCGGGTTGCTACGCTGGTCGGACCACTCCCTAGGAAGAGTGGGTCAGGGGCCATGTATGTCGGGACCGGGCGTTACATTTGGTATCGAGCCGACTCGAGGGGGCGATGACGTTAAATAGATGTGTGGCCCTTAAGCGTAAGCAGACTATTCGTGTGTGTTTTGTAATATATTATAATGCCACTCCACTACCTTGGTTTGTATTAATAATCGAACTTAGTTTGTAAGGTTTGAAATAAATGTTTTGTAAACTAAGTTATGGTAAGACTTCCGCCGATTTACTCGTGTGTAGATATTTGAATAAATGTTGTAATACAAATGACTCAGAATGTGATCCCGCCGGAAATCGTGGATGATTCGGGGTTCCCGAGGACACCCGACGATCTTCTTAGGTTATCGGTAACATATGCATAGATGTCAAAGGTCGTTGGATAAATGATGTGCATGTGGGCCCAATAATTTAGGAGGTTCTTACGTAATGGTGGGCCCAATTAAATTAAATTTCAGTATGGGCGGTGTCACCAGTAGCAGGGGAAATGACGGTCACTGTAGCATCCATTCTGTGGCTACTGTTCACCGGTCACTGTTCACTCAAATCGGGCCGGCCAAATCGGTGGTACTGTTCACGGGTTACTGTAGCACCGCGAAACACCAATGCAACCAGAGTTTAGTCCCATACCGAAATCCTCAATTACCGGATCGACTTAAATACCGAGGGAAGTAACCTTCGGCAACCGTTTTGAACAAGCGAGGATTCAATTACCACTCCTAGGAGAGTGGGTCAATGTATGTCGGGGCCCGACATTTGGTATCGAGCCGACTCTCGAGGTTTCAATCCAACTCGCATGTATGTTGTGTGCATGTGCGTGGATCCGTCGTGGTCACGGCATAGCATACACATGCGCCAAGACGCGGGCCACAAACGTGTTGAAGAGAGGCGGATCCCGGGTAAATGTCCCGAAAGGGTAAGTTGATCTCGGCATTCGACGGGGACGTCGAATCTTTAGGGGATGATTGTAACATCCTAATGGGCCAAAGTGGGCCCAATTAAATTAAATTTCAGTATGGGCGGTGTCATCCGTGGCAGGGGAAATGACGGTCACAAGCATCCATTCTGTGGGCTCATATCACCGGTCACTTATCACTCGAAACTGGGCCGGCCGAAATCGGTGGTACTGTTCACGGGTTATCAAATAAACACCTTACCGTGGTCCAAAATTGGATCGACTTAAATACTTAGCTTCGCCAATAACCTTCTTCCGCTAACCGCTTTGAACGGGCGAACGAAAGTTCAAGCGGGTTGCTCTGGGTCGGACCACTCTAGGAAGAGTGGGCTGGGGCCATGTATGTCGGGACTGGACGTTACATGCGCTGCCCTGCTAATAACTAGATAGTCGGTACCGCTGCCTCACAATGCCGTTAGCTTCATCCTCCACATGGGAACACTTCAACACCCAAGCAACAAGTGTGTACAAGTATCTACACTACACTCTTCTGTGAGACTGCTTGCTGTCCTGTTGTCCCGTGTTATCTTCCAGTCACTCCATGACTTGCTAGATGTTTTAGCGTCACTACGATTATGTACAATTCCGTGCACTCGTCTTCTACTACATTCTAAAACAGAAACAGTCCACCAACCCACCAGTTTCGCATCACGTTGCCTGATCACCAAAAGCTGTCCAGGTAGTAGTTTCTGGCCACCTCGTCGCCGAAGCTGATCCCGGAGAAGCCTGACCCCCGGGTCACGTCCGAGCACTGGAAGCAGAACCCGCCGCCGTGCGCATGCGAGCACGACGACCTCCTCGACGCCCCATCTCGGCTGACGACGCTCGTCCTCGGCGCCTGCTCGGCGTCCATCGTCTGCCACTGCCTCGGCGCGCTGTGCCACCGCGTCCTGGCCGCGGAGGACGCGGTTCCCGCCATGTACCGCGGGCTGACGAGCGCGTCCCGGTCCCGCTGCGTGGCGCGCCGCCGTGGCGTGCTGGCCAGGCTGTGCTCGACGCTCTTGGCGGGCGATGATGAGTCGTGGGAGGCGAACCGGGGCGTGCTCTGTGCAGTCTTGGAGCCCCGGGGGTCGCGCTCATCGCGGGCACTCCGCCGGAACGAGAGCCGCGCGGGCTGCTGCTGCTTGCCGCCGGGAAGCGGCGAGCACGACGGCGTCGGCGCCGCGTGGCGGTGATACTCCGGTAAGTGATCCGGGTTATACCTGCTGGTGATCCGTGAGGACCGGGAGCGGAGGTGGCAAGTGTCCATCTCCACGATCCGCGGGCTGCGCTCGTAGTTGGAGTCCGTGCTGTCAGACAGCATCCGGCGGTGCACCGGCGTCGCCAGCGGCTTCATCTGCACGTCCCGAGCAAAGATCCTCTCCTGCAGGACAAAGGATCACATAAGTATTCAAAAAAAAGTTAAAAAAAAGACATGTGGGTTACTTCTTGTTCCATGGATTTCTGGTACGAAGCATTCTTGACGGCGATGGAGTCGGCTTGCAGCCGCATGAGCGTCTGCAATCTGTGCAGCGTCATGGCTGCCTGCTTCCTCACCAGGTATCCCCGTACCAACGCCTGGATCTTGACGAGTGACCGGAGAGCTCGAAGCGCTCTCCTAGCCTGACACCAAGGATTCAAACCCAACCCAATGTCAGACTTTCCTCTAGACAAAAAAAAAAACCTGTTTTAATCCGTATTGTATTAAACAACTCCGGATTAGGTAATGAGGCTTATGTCAGGCTACGTGATAATCAACTGCTCTGACGCCAAACAGAAACTTGATAGTACGGTGAAGTCTTCGCCGACGCAGAGTAAAAGACAGTAAACAATTGCACGACGGGTCAACTTGCATATTGGTCCCGTTGGCTTCAGAAAAAAAAAAGGTCAAAAAACTGTTTCGACTGGTATGTTACGAGAAGAAAATATTATTTTAATTAGAAAAGACGGATTACAGGAGGACAAGGCCATTTTGTATAGTACGGAGAACGCAAGAGTTAACAAACGACTGTGTATCATGGAAAAAGAAAAGGGAGCAGGAGCAGAAGTGACATCACATACAACAGTAGCCTAGTCCACCTAGCCAAGGCACCAAGCAGTAACAAACAAAAAGGCTGAAGAATATAGCAAAAATACACTGAAAGATGCATCTGCATCGTTGCACAAAAAGAAACTTCTATACTGCATAACTTTTTTTAAAAAAAAAGGGGGAAATTGTAGTTTAAAAATACAATACTTCTCGTGTACGTATGAATGAATAAGAAGCTAGGAAGAGATCAGAACGAGAAGAATAGACGGAAGCTCGGGACGATCATACCAGGTAGCCTCTGAATGTTTTCTGGATCACGACCGCGGCACGGTGCTCTCGAGCTCTCGCATCCTCCCTTGGCCTCATCACCAGTTGCGACCATTCCACCGCGGCAGGAGGAGCGACGGCGTCCAGACCCGACGACCGCGCGCCGCCGTCAGCTTCGCTCTTCCTCTGCTTTGCGAAGCTCCACCTCTTCTTCTCCTTCTCCGGCCCGTCGCCCCAGTCGGTACCGACATGGTTCGCCTGGAGTCCTCTGTGCTCTTCCTTTCTGCCCGTCAGTAGCTGCTTGAGCCATCTCACGATGCGCCTCATGCTGCGGCAATTCTCTGCGCACGAGAATGCAAATCGGTCAACGAAAGGAATGGGGTTTTCTTCAATAAAAAAAAACGAAAGGAATGGGGGCAAGCGTCACAGCAAAGGAAGATCAACAGGCGAAATTCATCAACAGAGGAGCAGAGCAATCAAAGAACAGAGCGCTGCAGATGGGAATTTTGGGATGGATGATGACACGGCGAGCTGTGCCTCCAACTAGAGGGGAAAAGAGAGCGTTTGGTTTGAAAACGGCCGAAGGAGGCGCCTGGAGCAAGAAACACCGGATACAACCTTTTCGTTCCGTACGTAGGCAAAGCCAGACAGCCAAAAGGGCAAAAGGCAGCGAATTGTACAGAGGAATCCTTGGGAGCGGATTGGACTTCAAGAAGCAAAACGAAAACAAGCTCAACTTGCAGCAGCGTCAGAAAGAAGCTCACGAGATTAAAGCAACGAAAACAAGCTCAACTTGCAGCAGCGTCAGAAAGAAGCTCACGAGATTAAAGCAAGAGACTTTGGAGAGGAAGCAGCGGCAAAAGAGGCGGCTCGGAATTTGGCAGCAAATTACAGGCAGAGGCAGCGTCCAGTAGAGGAAGCCGGCGAGGTTTACGCGCGGCCGTCGTGCAGTGCAGCACTGCAGCCCCGAAGAGGAAAGCAAGCTAAGGTTTCACTGAAACCCACGCGCGGATCAGCCTCTCGAACCGTAAAGAGAGAGAGAGAGAGAGGAGCGATCCCCACCCAGCGGCAGCGGCAGCGGCAGCGGTGATCGGATTAGTAGGAGGGGAGAGCGCCGGAACTGACGCGTGGGTCTCAACGACTCGGCGGCACCGCACAGTCAGTCGCGTACTCGCGTTCCCGGGCCGGGTACACCCAGCTCACGAGAGATTCCCCCCTCCCCGCCCAAGGCTCCGAGTGCGAGCCAACAAAACGCGCGGGGCGGGATCTTCCAAACGACCAGCTCAGACGCGCACTGTTGCGGCTCCCGCCCTGCCAAGGCACACATGCATGCCCACCCGGACACCCCGACGAGTAAAAACGGTGCAAGGGAACAAGGACGTGAGCCGGTAACTAGCAAACGATAGGTCACACACCTAGAACGGCCGGCCGGCCGGCGCCTGAGCGAGCGGTGAGACGCTATCCCAGTGGGCGCCCGCGAAGCCAGGACCGGCAGATCTTGGCGTCATCGAATCGCCCGGCCGATCTGATCTCCCGGTTCCCGGCCGCTCTCGCTGCTGCTGCTGCTGCTGCTGGCAAGCCGCCCACTTTGTTCCGGGTTCGGGGGCGGCTCCGTCCCTACACGCGCTTGCTACACCTCGCGGTCATGGATGCAGGCTTGAGGCTTCTGCTGCCCGCGCCGGCCCGGGCCCCCTTCTAAACCGTGCTCGGGCCTTATTTAGATTCCAAGTTTTTTCACTCTCTCTTCGTCACATCAAATCTTTGAACATATGCATAGAGTATTAAATATAGATAAAAAAATAATTAATTATATAGTTTGATTGTAAATTATAAGACGAATCTTTGAAGTCTAGTTAGACCATGATTAGACAATAATTGTTAAATATAAACAAAAGTGATACAGTGCCCAACACTGATTGATGGCCGGCGTGTCCCCATCTCTGATCGCCTGATCGCGCGCAGATAAAGTCGCCGCGGGAGAAGACTGAGCGGTAGTACTCCTAGTAAAAAAGTTTTGCAGGTTCGGTAATATGCCGCGGCCAGTACGTCTGATCCGGCCGGCCCAATAAATCTCGTATCCTTGCGCCACGACCACGAGGCACTTCACGGGCTAGTGCGGGCCGACTCACTAGCTAACCCCCATACCTGAATGGTCAACGATCCAGAGGTGGTACTAGCAGTGCTGGTGGGACAGAGGCTTTTTGGACGGCAACGGGAGAGCTGCATCGCATGGGCGGGCGTCGCGTGCACTGTGCGCCGGTGTACACATGGGTTGTACGTAGTACTTCTCGTCTCGTGCGCCTGCTCTGTTTCAGTCGTGCAGGCGACGAAGCTACAGTTGCTGTCAGCGTCACCGTAGGATCCCAAAAGTCTTTTTTGGAGTGATGAACAGTCCCACCCAGGTTCTCAGTCCCGTCGAAACTTTCTTTGACCTGCACGCCTGCTCCTACTCCGCACCGCTCGCTGTGCATCGTCAAATGTGGCTCGTTTTTTGACACCATAACCACCCGATGTGGGCTCCAAAACTTGTGGCCTAGATAAGGTAACGACCTGTTTAGCGATGTACTACTGGTATCAGTTTTCCCTGTTTAGCAAAGCTTTAGATGTAACATCCATGTGCCATGTAGTATGTACCTTTACCTGTCCTCTGAAAACGACAGCGAGCTGCCGCCATACTCACACACAGTCATTACACAGGTCGTGGATGCTACCGAGTGCGTGGGCCGCGGATCGGACAACAGCTAGCTTATGGTTCGATCAGCATCAGCATCAGCTGCTACCTAGAACCGCATGCGTCTTTATGTGGCCTTGAGCAAGAATTCTCCGCTGCTGGTGAGAGACGTTACAGTTCGGCAACCACCAAAATACACAGAGGTTGATGGTCCATGTTGACTTCTTGTCGCCTCTCGTTTTCTCTCCTTTTTCTGGCTAGGAAAACGGGCGCGCTGTCATGCTGTCGCTGCCCTAAATTGCAGAGAAAACTCGCTGCCGACCTGTCGTTACATCCACCGTACGTACAATAGTACGTGCACAGTTCCTGTCACCGAGGGAAAGCCAGTCAGCCGGGACTACACAGGAACCGGAAGTAAGAGGCAAGCGTGCGAGTCCGGCTCCGATGGAGCCGGGAGACTTGACCCGTACGTGGGCCCTACCGCACGAAGCTTAGTATATGTACTAAATTATAAGATGTTTCTACTCTGTTCTATATTATTTTTACTATGTACCAATACCTAAGTGTATTCTAAGTACTTAGCTTTTTGTTACGTGTATCTAGAAATACTAAAACATCATATAATTTGGAACGAAGGACGTACTAAATTATAAGATATTTTATTTTTTTAAATATATTATGTTATTATATATCTAAACATGGTGTATATTTAAATATATAGTAAAAATTATTTATATCTAGAAAAGTTAAACATCTTATAATTTAGAATGAAAAGCAGTATTGCCATTGTGATCTTTTGCAAAAAAAAAGTATTGCCATTGTGAAGCACTAAACCGATCTACAGTATCATACTTCGATATCTAAAGCCGCCACTTCACAGAAGTAGTATTAAATCAATGGAAAGAAATAATCTTTCTGTCGATGTTTTGGACCGGGGGTTCTCAACCAACTAGTGAATTTGAACTGCATGCCCCTAATCCCGGATGGTGATGCAAAGAGACACAAGGTTTATACGGTTCAAGCAATCAGTGCCCTACGTCCAATCTGAGAGATCGATCTTGTATTCCTTGCACCGAAGTGCTTGTAGTAGGGGTTACAAGCTGGGCGACAGGGGAACTAGCCCCATGTCTCTGCGTGGAGTGGTGCGGCTGCTTGAGACGTTGCTCTCAGGCAGCGGGGGAGCATGTGTCTGAATCTACATGAGTCTATGCGAGTGCTCGTCTGACTTCCATGTCTCTAGAAACGGCCCCAGCCTCTCCTTTTATAGTTGAAGGGGGGACAGGGGTGATACATGCGTTTGCTATGCAGCGTCTTGTAAGCGGAGGTGGCGTGTCTGAGTCCTGTAGCTTGCTACTATGGCGGCATGGTCAACGGGGTGGTCTTGTCCTTGGTGCACTGGAGCAACGCGCCGGTCACGCCCGATCCTTTGTGAAGTGGGAGCTCCAGTGACAGCTTGGCGCAGGGCATGGCCAACGTCGTGCCGATCGCTGTGCGTTGATAGTGAAAAGAGCCGAGGCTCAGTTGGTGCCGAGGCCGAGCTATCGTGGGGGATCGGCGGGTGTGAATCCCGAGGCTGCCGAGACCCTGAAGTGGACTGCCGAGGCTAGGAGGGAGCAGTTGGTCCTATACACTAATTCCGAGGCTATAGTGACCCCGACTTGACTCCCCACGCCGCGCTGTTCCTGGAGCAGGAATTAGGTGGCACAATCAAAGATCGGGCGCCAATCATGGGCGCGATCTTGAAACACGCGATGTCGGTAACCCTCGCCGATCTCGTCTCCCGTCCCGTCGGCCGCTCTGCTGCACTGCGTCGACGTGCGGCTGACGTTGCGGGAGTGGTTGGACGCGTGACGTTTTGTCAAAGAAGTCGGTCGAGACGGAGGCGACGAGGTTATTGCCGAGCCAGCCTCGATCGAGTCGGAGAATCGGTGTTTTGTCCGAGGCTTTATGCGCGGGGCCTCGGGCGAATCGGAGAATTGGTAACCCGTCCGAGGCCTAGCGGGGCGGGGCCTCGGCGAGAGGGCCTTGGCAAGGCGGAGAATTGGCCTTTCGTCCGAGGCTTTTGTGGCGCGGGCCTCGGGTGAATCGGAGAATCAGCCGAGGCCCCGTGATCGTCCTTTGGCATTGATATTTGCAAGGTCTAAGCAATCTTTTTGGTTTTTGCTTAGGGTACCCCTTTTAATGGTATCCGACAGTAGCCCTCGAGCCTCGGGGAGAGTGCGAGCATTCTCCTTGAGGTTTTGTCGAGATTTTGGCTTGCAGTGGCTCCTGTCAGGATTGTGTTTTGTACTCGTGGTTCCGGTGGGTGCGCGCCACCGGGTGTAGCCCCCGAGGCCCTGGAGGAGTGGATTTACTCCTCCAGGGGCTTTTTCTCTATTGAGTAAGGAGTTTTATCGCGTTTGCCAGGCCCAAGAGTACGAGTTCCAGTCGCTGGACCCTGGCTTGGTTGCAGGAAGAGCCCCCGAGCCTCTGCACTACACGAGAGGGCGATCAGTGGGTTCCTTGTCTTTTTTTGGCGGTCCTCGCTCATCCTTTTCGGTCGGAAGGAGGGGTGGAGCATGCCAAGCTACCCTCGGTGGGCGCGAGCAGTGACACCTCCGGTGACCTGTTATCGAGTTAGTCCAAGTGGAGGCCCGTGCCCCATTTGATAGGGGTC